AGCGAACAATGTCCACTTACATAACGCTACGAAAAGGCATCTGTGGTGAAAAGGTTGAATATATTGCCTGAATAAAGTGTTGCCTGCATTTGAACGATGTCAAGATGAAATCGGGAGAATCTCTGGTGTTCTATCGATATTAATATTTTTAAATATTAATAAAATAAAAAAAAAATAAACACTTTTAGCACTTTTCCTTTAAACTTGTGAACTTGGATCTGACCWTTTCCTAAGAGTTTACTATTTTAATAGCTAAAACTATTAATCTATTAGACCTTTATTGTTAATTTATATTCCACAAAATATATTTGTATTTGTGTAATGACTTGACAAAACGTCTTTCACTGTAAACCATAAATTCATTCTTGATTAACCATATTTACACATATTGTTATATTCTTTTAACATTTTTATCATGTTTAAATTGAACTATATTTATGAATATGGAATTATTGATCAAAGCTGGTATATATACTTTCAACAATTGTTGCTCTTTTCAATTTGTATTTAGGTTGTAAGTTAATCTTTGTAAGGTAATACTGCGTTTCTTTTATAGAAAGAATCATTCACGGATTCCTTGATAAAATCACTTACATTTTTTGTTTCTTTTTGTTGGAGTTTGCAGACAAACATTTCTTATTATATATTGGCGTTCGCCATCTTTAAATTGTTTATTAAAGTGAACTACAGTCGCCTAATGCTAGAATAATAGTCAGTTTGTCTTAGAGTTCAATGTATCAATAAGTTCAATGTGTCAATGATGCCAAGCAAGCGAGCATATTATGTCAGATCAAGTAAAATATTTACTTACATGTTTCCTCGATGTTCATCGAAGCAACTTAGTTCTCGTGTAGTTATGAATATTAGTCGCTTGGGTATCTAACGTCTCCTTTGGAGATTGGTCCTGAGCGGTGCTACCTGGCTCCGTTTGAGAGTAAGCAAATTCCTTATTATTCGTTGAAGGTAGGGCAAAAGAAATGTCATGTAGTTCTTGAGTCCATCTAAAGTTTTTTATCGTGGAAATGTTCTTTAATCAGTTCCCTGCACATAGCTATGCACCTTGTTCTTGATGCCTTGGCGAATGTAGGACAGACGCAGTGACATGATGATTGGGTTGATGAGAGACTGGAGATGTAAAAATGTTGAACAGATAATCGAGGCGATGTACTGAAAATCGCTCGTCACATCTTTACCGTTCAGGGTCTCGATCCCTGTTACTATAATGAAAGGAAAATAAAAGAGAATCGACAAAACCACTAACGTGGTCATCGTGAACACTCGCTTGTATTCCTGGAGTCGTTGTTCTTGTTGCTGTTGCTCGTCTGGTTGTTGAACTGATTCTTGCTGCAGGGCGATGGTTCTACTCTGACGATAAGCTGTTAGCTGAACTTTAGCTGAGCAGAACAAAGTTATCACTCCTAAAATACTCATGACAATAGCTGATGGAACTTTTGTTAGCTTGGGATTGCTTTGATTCAGTAAAGCGCTAGTACTGGACAAACATCCGACAGTTATTATCCAGGAAATTGCCGTAGTTACACTAGCTTTCTTTCCTGTAATGTTCTGGAGATAAAAGTTTGGATGTTCTATGGCTAAATACCGCTCAATACTCGCGATGGCAAAACTGACCTGTGTGATACTACCACAAACTTGTGACGACAAAACGTACGCAGTGAATGTACAGTCAGGTAAAAGACAATTGTTAATAAGACATCCTAGGAAGAGACAGAGCAATGGTTCGACCAGCAATCCTGTCAGTAAATCAGTCACTGCAAGAGAGGCAAGTAAAATGTTGAAGGCAGAGGATCGAAGATTCTCATTCCCAACCACAGCCCATATGACGAGGGCGTTGACGACGATTGTCGGTGGGGCAGCAAGACCATTGATGATAGCAAGAACAGTCCAAGTCGGGTGAACGGAATCTGGACGGTTCATGTCATGAGGATCAAACACTTGCAGTGTTAAAAAGCAAACATCAGGTGTAGTAGTAGTAGGGACCACGACACTAGAAGAGTTATTTGCCATAGCAAGCAAAGTCCTTTACGATATGCTTTAGCGGTGGAAGGTGCTTCACTGATCGATACGACTGACTGAATGAAGATATGTTTTGAAACAATCTGATTTAGTTCAGAAGTCTTGACTGATGCATTCTGTGTAATTTGTATAACAATAGTTACTAAAAACAATTATAAGACTACTATCTACACTAATACCACTGATGCACGGACATTTTGCTTAGAAATTGGGAAAGTGAGAAGTATAATTGGGATTGACTGTATTGCGGGTTAACTGTCAAGAACATCACAATATTTTTTMACATTTTATCACATTTTTATTTATTCGTAAAATTTTCAGAATCAAACTGCACCCATTTGCACAAGCGCAGAAAATATATCTTGTTTTATAATCTAAAGTTTAAATGTTTATAAAGTATATTGTAATGAAAAAAAAAAAAAAATAACGCATGGGCGTATTTAAATCCACATAAAAGTTCTAGTTGTTCTTAATTTTGTCCATGTCCTGTAAACAGATAGGGTGTCGTCTTTATCTAAGTGCATAACTTCCAGGGCACATTGGGTTTGATAATAAGGAGGGCTTTCTTCTGGAATGATTTGTATACATTATAACAGTATTGGTACCCACATGTATACGTTTAGTTTTTTGGTAACGCTCAGTCAGGCAATCAAAAATCTCAGAATGAGTGTCGTGGTAGTGTATTCGACTTTGTTGAACAGTTATATTTCCCACTTTTTAGTAGATTTGTTGCTATACCACTTGAAATTATGATTTTTC